TATATGAATTTACGATAATTCTCTAAAGCTAATACAAAATAGCATTTTATTTAATTTAAACAGAGGTGAAAGAAAGTGTATAGAAAAGGCATATTACTAGAGATACTATTTGCTAAACTGAGATCTCTAAAGTTAAAAAATAAACAAGAAAATCATTAATAGCTTACAGTTATAGTTTTAACTTTTAAACCTTAGACAAAGTTGAAAGATAAGGATGTCGGCACTGTTATATTTCCTTTTAACTACCTTCTACATGCCTTCAAATTTCTGTTTATTATATGGTTATCAAAAAGAAGAAGAAGAAGAAGAAAACCTTCTTGAACAACACCCAGTCCTCAACATGAGCTTATTTCATAAATCATTGCTATGACAAACCTAGAGACTATATCAGATCTGGACAGACTTGCACAAAGAAAATAGAGGAAGTGAGGAACCAGAGACTACATACCATCTTTGTTGGAACTGCCTTTTTTTCTCTGTGAGATTTTATTAAATGTCCAGTAATAGAGTTTTTGTACCTAAATAAGGGTTTAACTTACTATTATGTGAGGATATCTTTAGGTTTCATACCATCCATGGGGTTTTCCAGGCAAGGATACTGGAGTGGGTTGCCATTTCCTTCTCCATTGGACCATGTTTTGTCAGAACTCTTCATTATTACCCATCTGTCTTGGGTGGCCCTGCATGGCATGGCCCATAGCTTCATTGAGTTATGCAAGCCCATTTGCCACAGCAAAGCTATGATCCAAGAAGGGGTATGAAACACCAAAGGCTTTGACTGTGTGGATCACTGTGGAAAATTCTTAAAGAGAGAGTACCAGACAACCCTACTTGTCTCCTGAGGAACCTGCATGTGGGTCAAGAAGAAACAGTTAGAACCAGACATGAAAAAATGGACTGGTTCAAAATTGGGAAAGGAGTGCAACAAGGATTTATACTGTCACCTTGCTGTTTAACTTATATGCAGAGTATATCATGTGAAATGCCAGGCTGAATGAATCACAAGGTGGAATCAAGATTGCTGGGAGAAGTATCAACAAACTCAAATATGCAGATAATTGTCACTCTAATGGCCGAATGTGAAGAGAAACTAAAGAGTCTCTTGATGAGGGTGAAAGAGGAGAGCGAACAAGCTGGCTTGAAGCTCAACATTCAAAAAACTAAGATCATGGCATCTGGTCCCATCACTTCATGGCAAATAGAAGAGGAAAAAGTGGAAGCAGTGACAGATGCTCCAAAATCACTGGGTACAGTGGACAGTGACAGCAGCCATGAAATTAAAAGATGCTTGCTCCTTGGAAGAAAAGATATGACAAACCTAGAGAGTGTATTATAAAGCAGAGACATCACTTTTTCGACAAAGCTGTATAGACAAAGCTGTGGTTTTTCCAGTGATCATGTATGGAGTGAGTTGGTCCATAATGAAGGCTGACTGCCAAAGAATTGATGCTTTTGAATTGTGGTGCTGGAGAAGACTCTTGAGAGTCCTGTGGACTACAAGGAGATCAAACCAGACAGTCCTTAAGGAAATCAACCCTAAATATTCTTTGGAAGGACTGATGCTGAAGCCAACACTGCAATACTTTAGCCATCTGATGTGAAGAGCTGGCCATTGGAAATAACCCTGATGTTGGGAAAGATTGGAAAGTGAAAGTGAAAGTTGCTCAGTCGTGTCCGACTCTTTGCAACCCATGGACTCTGGAATTCTCCAGGCCAGAATACTGGAGTGGGTATCCTTTCTCTTCTCCAGGAAATCTTCCCACCCCAGGGATCGAACCCAGGTCTCCTGCATAGTAGGCATATTCTTTACCAGTGAGCCACTAGGGAAGCCCATGTTAGGAAAGATTGGAGGCAAAAGGAAAACGGGATGGCAGAGGATGAGATAGTTAGATGGTATTACTGACTCAGTGGACATGAATTTGAGCAAATTACAGAAGAGAGTGGAGAACAGAGGAGCCTGCATGCTATGGTTCATGTAGTCACAAAAAGTTGGACACCAATTAGTGCCTGAACAACATATTACTCAGATTCAGATTAGTTCCCTGATTTAGTGTGCGTTTGTTCCTGGAACATTCAAACTGGTCACAGAGATTTCACAGCTCGTTTCATTTGTTTCTCTCAGCAGCTGCTTTTAAGATGAAAAAAATCATTTCTTTCAATTTACATCTCTCTTGATTTGAAGTGACTAGTGAGAATTTTTATGATTTTGATCACCATTATGACTTTTGGGAACATGAACAGAATTGGGAGTCTCAGCCTGTCTCAAACACATTTTATTTCTGTCATTAACCACATCTTTTGAGATTTATGACATAAAGCTATATGTTTTTTCCCATATGATCATTGCTGGTGGAAGTTTTTTCCTCTAGTTTTTACTCTTTTTGTTTGTTTTTGTTAGATATGGAAAGGCAGAAATTCTTTGATGCAACTCGATTCTACTATGGTAACCTGTAAGTTTAAGGCAGTAAGTTTTTAAAGAAACACCTTTTCCGTAATAGAAAATAATCATTAAAAATAGAAAATGCCTTCAGCTTCAATTTTGCAGCAGCTGCAGAGAAAGTTTTCATAATGATGGTTAATGTAGAAATCCTCAATGACTTCTGCCTGGTAGTAGCCAAATATTAAAGTATACTTCAAAATGAAAGGTATTTTTTAGGTGCAGAGAAAAATGTGACGATATAAATCACTTTCAGGTGATCTAACATGATAGAAGAAAAGATTCACGATCTTCTGAGTGGTACATGGTTAGAAAGCATGGTTTAGTCCAGTTTAATGTGCAAGTAGCATTTTCGAGGAGTTTTTCTAAAAATGCAAATCTTAAAAAATAAATAAAATAAAAATAAAAATGCAAATCTTGAATCAGTAGGTTTTGGTTGGGACCTGAGATTCTATGTTTTTAGCAAGCTCTCAGTGAAACAGGTGATACTTTTAGTAGCAAAATTCTTCACAACTGCAGACTCAGAGCAACTCGAACTAAAACCCTTTAGGCCAGAGATTATAGCTTATTCATCTTGCAAACCTGTTATCTAATGAAGTGCCTGAATAAAAGTATGCCCTGAAATATTATTTTGTTAAATAAATGAATTGATATGTTAAATAAATAAATCACTACTAGATGCCTGGAATATCTGTATTCTCTGTTAATGATTGACAAGGAACCCTTCTGTTTTGGAGACCAGTTGCATGAATGATAAGATTGCTAGTTTCTCTTAAAAAATCCAAAGTCCTAATAAAATTTTTGCTTAGTTGAAACTGTTGTACATCACACAGCTACTTTGGGCAACAAAATATTACTTTTCAAATACTTGAACATATTCTTAGCTGGTTCTCAGTTTGGTTGTACACTGGAATGATGGGTATTTTTGCTTTTCTAATTCTCAAATAAACACTTTGATTTATGAAAGTACCACATAATCACCTTTATTTCAATAACCATTGATAATTTGTGTGTGAGCTTTCTTCAGAACAAAATTATAACTATATCAGGGGTGTGAGTGAGAATAGGAAAAAAATCATTTAAAAATCTTAAGTTGTCCTTCTGAATAATTATCCTGCGTTCTGTGTTACCAGTGAATTTGAGAACTGAGAGCACTGTATGTTACATATAAGTATCAGCCTTACTTATTTACTTACACATATACACACGTATGTGTATGCATGTCAGCCTGCTAGGGCTCTCCTGGTGGCTCAGACAGTAGAGTCTGCCTGCAATGCAGGAAACTCGCCTTTCATCCCTGAGTCAGGAAGAGTCCCTGGAGAAGAGAATGGCTCCCCACTCCAGTATTCGTGCCTGGAGAATTCCATGGACAGAGAAGCCTGGGGGCTACAGTCCATGGGGTCACAGAGTCAGACACGACTGAGCAACTAGCACTTTATCAGCGTATTACTGTGTTTCACATCTGATTATCAACACATAAATGATATAATTGTATTATTAAATTTTGGACCTGGATTGTATAAAGGAAATGAAACAGTAAAATACCAAAGCAAGTATTTAATTACAATTTAAATGAGCAGTTCATAGTTAAAATGTAGGATAGATGAATAGAACTAGCAATAGAAAGAGAGATCCTCTATAGCAGAGATCCTTGTCCTATTCTTTACAAACTTAACTAGGTAACTTTGAGTAAATTATTTAACTACATTGCCCTTCAGTTGTCTTACCTGTAAATTGAAGAGGCAAATCTACCAAGGTCTCTACCAACTGCAAAACTTTGTGGTGTGTAACTCTAATCTGAACTAAGTGTCATAGTGTTGGTGTGGGGGAAACAATAACTTTAAGCAATCATTTATTCCTACACCTTTCCTTTAGGGCAACTATGTAAAATAAATTCTGAAAAATGTAAAACTTTCCTAAACAACTTGAAACTAGCCAAAAGAAAAAAAAAATGTTGAGTCAATCACAGGCAGAATATAGAGGAACATGTCTTGATGGTCCAACAGATCTAAGTTTAAATTCTAAATATTTCCCCTTCTAGTTTGTGAGCCCATGAGCAAGTACATTTCTTGATCTCTATGAGTCCATTAATGAAAAAAAAAAACAAAAAAAGAATGAGTCTGTTTCCTTAAATGTAAAATTGAAGTGTGAATATTTACCTGATAGGATTGCTATACTTATTAAATAGTGAGATCATTTAATTAACACACAGTGCTCAATTTTTAAAAACCGAATATATTTTGAATGGCTGAAAATATCTTTAGACATCCTATTTAAAGACATAATGAGCCTTAATTATAAAATATTTATGCTGTTTACTGTGTTTCATTTACTTTCAAGAATTCGATGATTGCATATTCATTTTCTATGATCAGTAAAATAAATACCCCAAACTGCAGTGTCTTTTGGTTAATAGTGGGACTGTTCCATGAATTGTGCTTCAGATTTTTCTCATGAGTGTTGAATCTGTTTCCTCACTGAATACAAAGTATTCCAGTATGTGGATGTTTTGAGTAGGCAAGCAAATCCTTCTACATGTGACAATATTATTATTTTCTTTCAGGAAACCCTGATAGATTGGTGTGATGAAAAGGAACTTAATTTGATATTAACAACTGGAGGAACAGGGTTTGCACCACGAGATGTCACTCCAGAGGTGAGATAGTATATACTTTTCTGATATTCAAGAAGTAGACTATTCATGTTATTTTTAATCCTTTTAATTATTTTTATATGGCTTTTGTAATTTTGCTAGACAGAAACGACACCTGTGGTTCTAAGAATGTGAACATTTTGCAGTGGTTGAATATTTACATTTTTTTTTTAAAGTTTCTTGACTTCTTTTCTTTTGACTTAAACTAGATATTATCTAAAATGAGGAAGATTGAACTGGTCCAGAAGGTAATCTTGCATTTGTGGTATGTGCTCTGTGGTATTGGCTGAATTTCAGGCATATATTGCTAAAGGAAGTGATAGCAGAACTCTGACTCAGCATAGCATATGATCTGATGTGCTGTGTTAATGTAATTCAAAATATATCTGATTCCTTTTTTCTTTAGATACCCTTGTTTTGGTCTCAAGTAGAATGACTGTAATAGCATTTTTATACCAATTTTATAGTATTTGATGAGAAAGTTATATATTCCATAATTTTAAATGTGAATTTAAATGCAGAATTTAATAAGCCAAGAAGCAAAATTAGTATCTAGGCTATGTCTTAAGAATCACCTTCAACCTTGCATGGGAAAAAAAAAAGTTAGGGAAAGAATGAAGAATAAACAGCACTCAGTGATAGAAGGGGAAAAGTCTTTCTTTCTTTTTAAAGCAGCCATAAACTTCAGCTGTAACTTTAGAGTCATGTGCAGACTTATATTCATACTTAGACATTGTTTTGCTCACTTTCCAAAAAGTGTTTCTTGGCTGAATTTCAACTTACTGTTAGCTGTTTTGTTTTCTTTTTTTTTTTTTTAATTTTCAAGTCAGTATCCCATTGTGTCTACTGTCTTATTCACAGCAAGATATTTTTGCTCTGTACCTATTAAATAATTGTTGTCCCACTTACTCTAATATAGGAGTTTTCAAACTTTAACCTGTACCCCCACCAAAGGTAATACGTTGCTGCATCTTGCCCACAGTGTTTCTGATTCAGTAAATCTGCAGCGGGTCCCAAGACTTTGTGTTTCTGGTACGGCCCCTGGTAATGCACATGTTGCTGGCCGATAACCATGCTTCCAGACTTTGGGTAACACTGCTCTAGTATGTGAAAATGTAAATTGTTTTAACAGATTGTAAAATAATTTCTGTTTTTCTATGTAAAAATCACAGAAATTTTGGAAATAGGCTTATAAATATAATGGTTTTGTTTTTAAAGCTATCAGAATAGAGTCGTATTGGAAGGTTGTTAGCTTTCAGTACTTAAAAAAGGTGAGAGGGGGTTTTCAGGATGGGGGCACATGTACACCCATGACTGATTCATGTCAATGTGTGGCAAAAACCACTACAATATTATAAAGTAATTAGCCTCCAGCTAAAATAAATAAATTATTTTCTTAAAAAAAAAAGAAGTCATTCTTACATAGCTCTTGAGTCCTTAGGGGAAATGATCCTTTGGCCAATTTTTTCATTTCTTTTAAACTGTGAGGCTAACTTAAAAAGATAAAATTCGAGGTAAGCCATCTCCTCTAGAGGTGTGTTTATGTTTTGTTTGTGAGAAAATCACCTACGTATGTGAAGACCTTAATTTTTGAAGTTTGTGTGTTGTGTTAAGTGTTTTAAGTAAATGACTTTGGTTTTATATAGCCCTATTGTTTATGTAATGATTTGATATTTTCATAATATTATTTTTATATCATAAAAGTAGAGAAAAGTTACCATAGAATTCATTCATAACCAGTTAACAGTATTATTTTTAATTGTGAGAAAATAAATTTGCATCACAAAGTATTTTGTATTCCCTAGAGTTTCAAGTTTACTCCAGAACACTAGGTTGCAAATTCACACTTTTAAATTCTGGCTCTGCTACATATGACGCGGTGAGCAGAGACTAGTCATTAAACCATTCTGTGCCCAGTTTCCAGTAAAGTGTGGGAAATGAGAGTGCCTGTCTACCAGGGTAGCTGTGAGGATTCAATGAGAACTATTTTTGCTAAGAATACAAAAAACTATTTTTATCTTTTAGTTAATAAAGGGTAATTTTTATTAGTTATTACATAACTACCAAAGTGGACAAATTTGTGGTATTTTTTATATATATCAAATGGACAAAAACAGTCAAATACTGAAGTATTATCCATGCGGTCTTTGTGATCTTGGTAAATTTTTAAATCTTTTGATGTAGTAAGCTTCATATTTTATCTTTTCTTTCTCGATATAAACCAGAGTTCTTGAAATTCTATCATTCTGGCATCGATTTAGCCCCCAACTTTTTTTTTTTTTTGCTGTTGACAAGAGTCTGTGTCTTTCCATTACCTTGTATATGGCATTATATCAGAAATTGAGAGGTCCTTTATTATTCATTGAAGTTTTTCAGAAAACCCTAGAGATGCTCTTATATTTGTATATGCCTATAGCAGTTGCTGGCTAAAATTTGTATTAGGGTTGTTTTTAATGAGTTTAAAATACATGTAGTTATGTCTTCCCTAATATCTGTTTTTGAAAGCAAGTGACTTACCTGATTGTAAATATCTTGATCTTTAATGGATTTACTGTATTTCATATTTTTATACACATACACACAGAAATACACACACACACACACACACAAATATACACATACCCAAAAAGTATGGTTATCTACAGCAAAAGTCCATAGCACTGTTAAGCCTTTGAAAAATAAGTGTAAAAGCCATCTGACCACTCAAAAATAATTCTAATAATTTCTTCTAATCTTTAAATAGTTGCAATTCTTATAATATCTAAAACATAGCACTGGAATGTCAGCTAGTAATCCTGAAATATAATTTTGTGCCTGTAATAATATAGTTACTTGTCTTTATCTTATTTGTCTTAGATAATTGTGCCTAAAAAGGTTAACATATTGATAAACCATATGTGCCTATATACAACTGTTTGCAAATCTTTTTAAATAGAATCAGAAGTTATTGATGGAAAACACAAATATTAGTGATAAGGGTAAAATAATATAAAATTTCTTCCTTAAGTCAGTAATTGTCAGTAATTAGTTTGATCTACAGACACAAAGTACAAATTGTTTGTGGGTTGTTTAAAAAAAAAGGGAAGGTGAAAAATACTAAGTTGAATTATTAAAATAAAGCAATCTAAAGTTATTGTCACTGGATATGAACCTTAGAGAAAATGAAAAGTTTAATAGACTTATCCAGATATATTAACAGAAAAATGGAATAGCAACTTGAGTAAAGTGTATCTTATTTATATATTTTATAGGAATAAAGCAATCAGAATTGACTTTTCTAAATTATGAATTTGTTTCTGCTTTTTGGCACCATATCTTAGAATGTGGTTCATCTGATAGTCACATGCCTGCTGGTCCCCTCCCTTCCTCTAAACATGAGATATTATCAAAGCTTACATCTAGTAACATAATAATCCCTACTGTACAACTTTTTAGAGTTTTATTTGATGTAAAAAGCTTATTTTTTGGTAATAGATTGTGTTTTCTGTGAACTGATAAAGGTTGGATAATCTGTTGACATTGGTGAAATGCGAGTAATAGAATTTTATAGTTATATAGAACATAAGAACTCATTGGTATACAAAGTATTATATCTTCATGTTCCACTATCACTTAAAAGTTTATATATCCAATATAGGTATTATTACATGAAGAATCTTTCATTATTCTTAAAAAGTAAAAGTATAATTAAGGATGTATAAGTGAGGTAAAGTGAAGGTCTTTTAGAATTAAAGTCTAGAAGACAATAAAAGATTAAGCAGCATTTATTTTAAAAGAAACATCTATATGATTACAAAGAAATGTTTGATATTATGTTTTGGTAAATTAGAAAATATTACACTATTTAATATTTGTTAGGTAAAATTAAGTTTTAGCACTTTCATAGTGCTAAGCTAAACCAGAGTAAAGGGTTGTATAGTAATATATTATGATTATGAATTAAAGGGTTAAATAAAATCCTAGCATGCATCTTAAATCTCATTTATTTATTCATTTATCATATTTTTTATTTTTAATCCTTAATATGTGTCTGATGCCATGCTGGGTGCTGGAGTTAAAAAATGAGTAAGACATGATCCCTATTCTCAACTCAGTCTATCCATGGGTCAGCAAACTATGGCCTGTAGGCCAAATTCAGCCTATTGTATTTTTTTGTATGACTCATGAACTAAGAGCATATTTTGATTTCTTTCAGTCATTAAGTGACTTTCATTAAGTGACTGAAAGAAATCAAAAGGAAAATGATATTTTGTGACATATGAGAGCCATTTGAAATTTGGATTTCAGTGTCCATAAGTGAAATTTTATTGGAACATAGCCACACTCCTTCATTGACCTATTGCCTATGGCTACAATAGCAGAATAGAATAGTTAAATGAAAATCAATTAGGCCTGCAAAGCCTAAAATATTTACTGTCTGATCCTTTGCAGAAAAAGTTTCCCACCTCTGGTCTGTTAGATGAAAAATAGTCATCTTTATTCATGTTTTTAGCAGACTTTTTAAATTTATTTTTACCATTTGTTCTTTAGTAATGTGAAATGATGTTGAGTTTTATTTCTTAAATATTTAATCTTGGAAGGAGCAAGGAAAGAACACTTTTCTTCCACAGTAAAGTGTATTGCCCCATTGTCTCAGTAGACAATATAGAATAATAAAAATCAAAGATCCCTCATATAAATAATATATAAAATTTTGAAGTTTCAAAATTGATCAAATTATTGGATTTGTTAAACATTGTTTCACTCTTAAATATTTTTCTTAGTAGTACCTCCTAAAAAGTGTCCTGATCAAATTTGTCATTATGAAGTAATCAGGCAAAAGGAAGAATTACAAAATGTCAGGGAATTATAAATTTGATGTAAAAGATATTCATTTAAAAGGGTTTTTGTGGTTCATTTTGGAAGTGAAGAGGCATCTCACAATGACTAACTCTGACAGTGATAAAATAATCTGGTACAAAGGATGAATTTCTAGGAAAAGATTATGAACTTCACAACACATA